CGGCATGGGGGCACTCTAAATATGCGGCGAGCTGAAAGTCCTCTAGAAAGGTTGTTGTTAGAGGAAGAGGGGTGGGAGACCCCCGGATCCGTCCTTCCCAGGGTGCTCTCCATCAAAACTGGGGGCGGAACAAGCACTGTCACTTGTGTGGTGCTCAAGGCTGTTGACAACGACAGGTGTAATCTTGCACTCTTTGATACGGATGAATTTCATGGGCTTGTTCTGATGTTATTGTCGGACAAGTGAAATAAGTCCCAACAACAACATGAAACAATTTTTTTTTTAATTTTGTTAAAATGCATATTATTGAATTAGTTAAATTAATAGTATGTGGTAGGAAAAAATATGTAGGATCAATTTTTTCTATCATTAGCTTCACATTATGATAAAAATATTAGCTACGGTATGGTTTTATCTATACAGTATAGCCAGTTGTCATATATCTATGTAAACCTGAATTACAATTCTGCATTAGTACAGCTCTAGAACAGAATTTTTGAATTAAAATTTTGATTTAAAGCTAATTACATCAGATAAGAAAATTTAAAATACCAGTATATTAAAATTAAAGCAAGGTGTTTCCTAACATAATGGATATTCTGAATAATCTGACTAGACCAGTTTAATTCCTTGAGCACATAAACTCTAAAACTGAAAATTTTATCGAAAAGAATAATCTCAGGTGAAGCTTTATCACATTTTCTTCTACTAAAAAATGCACAAATGCCAAAGCGAATATTCTCAAATGCTTAGCTTCTTACTTCGAATCGTTTGACGATCTAAAGAAAAAATTGCAGCAAATGAAAATGATAGTCTTTTTTTTTTTTTTTTTTTTTGGATGGGGGGGGGGGAGTGGAGCAGAACATAGAAGCCAAGATAATGAGAAAGAAGGCGCATAATCTCAGGATATTTCGCCGAAAAGAAAGCACCTTTGTTTAATGACGCTTAGCAACGCTTAAGATAACAGAGGATGAGATACTGTGCTTTATTTAACATTATTACAAAATAACTTATCACTTCATCATCATCGATATACTCACTAAAAATTTTCAACACACAATTATTAATACTTTTATAAAACAGATTTCTGCATTTATGTAAGGAACATAATGCAGTTATATAAATTTTTTGATAACCTAATTAATAAAGCTACGTTATGTTCCTGTATTTTATTAAAAAAGATTAATCAAGACTTTTTGAACAGAAATAAGCTAAATTCGTTTATTGTCGAGTGATGGAAAAATTACTAATCACAAACCGTGACCATGAAGCAAAACTGACTACGGAATGTATAAAAAAGAAATTAAAGATAAATTTACTTTCTCATGATACTCACAGCTTATCTTTTTCATTTCAACTGACTTTTATTTTTCTATCATTTACTCTTTATTTTAAATGTCGATTTAATTTACTTAACCAATGAACATATTCTCCAGATCCAGCTGTTTAAAAACACAGGTTAAACTGTTAACAGCATTTTTCTCTGTATCATAATATGGGCTTAACCACGGACATGATCGAGGATTTGATTGTACTGTATTATTTTGTTTTGTATAATACGGCAATATTTAGGAACTCAATGAATGTATTATACGGGAGATTCCTTTTCACAATATATGAAATACTGGTTCGTTGTATACGTTCTGTTAACAGATGGATCAGTAGCATCGAGATTTTTAAAACCCTCGATGAAATCTAAGTTTTAATCCACTGATAAGACATATGTCATACGAAACTCTAGCATCTTTTATTAGATCAAATATTGTAGAGACATTAGGATTTTTTGAGCAAGAGAGATGAAAAATGAGCAAACGCCTTCGCCGGGAATCGAACCACGGATCTCTGGAATACCGGCCCAGCGTGCAGAACCACTACACCACGAAGGCACGCCAGGAAGGCGGGAGAAATACCTTATAATATATAATTTTTGTATTTGTAATAAAACTTATGTAATGTTGCAAAACATAAATAAATTGTCATTTACGGTACTGTTTTGTTATCGGTACCCGTTCGGAAATGTACGCATGTATGTCTTCATGTATGCATGTTTATATGTATATATACATATGTATCTGTGTGTCTACACACACATACATACACATCTGAATCCGGTCTTGATAAAAGAAGAGTACCTCATTTACTATGCAAATATGCAAGGGCTATTATTTATTTATAATAAAATAACATAATTAATTACTAGCTATTATGTGCACGATATGAATCTAGTTATGTAACTTACATCCTGGTGTTTGTATTATTTCAAGTTTTGATTACAAATCAAATCAGAAATCTTTGGCAAAACCCTCCATCAATTCAGTGCTGATAACGACATATTACTGATATTATGTTAAATATCAATAGCAATTATTAATCAATATTTATTCATAACACTGATATTTGCATTAATATATTTATCATAACAAACGTATTCGAAATATACTAAACAACATTCGGTTGTTTGTACACTGACTTTTGATGAGTGGTAATTATAGTTAATTACTATCTGAAAGTAGCGATAAGCAGGCTTAAACAAGTAAATTAATTCACGTAAAATTCCGCTATAACGTAATTCAAATTTCATGTATAATCATTCATAACAGAATGCCAAGAGAGGGCAGAAGATAACAACAACGCGGTCAGGCAAATAAATCATTAATGTGTGTTTAGCGCGTGCTGTTGACTTGATCTCTGTGCGCTTACAAAATTCATCAGTGCTTTAGATATGCAACTGCAAAGGCCCAGCCATAACATATCAAAATTCTTCCTGAGCTGAATCTAAACTAAACAAGTTTTAGTTGAATAAGCCCACTTGTAGGTCAGCATTATCTATAATTTTCCCTCGCACTTCAGAAGAGCATTCAACAACTAGTTGGAATTTGATAATTAATTAGTATGTACGAGTATTTTAGAGTTAAACAATTCGCACATCTTAACCAAGGAATTAAACATTTATTGAACAATTAAACTGTAATGGAATTAACCAACAAAATGCAAAAGAATATCTGAAATTGAATGTTTTATTTACTTAATTAAACATTTATAATTTTATTTTTTATTTTTATTTCTAATTCACCTTTATGAATTGTACGATCATTTGTTTACAAGACGTTCGTTAATAGGAAGGAAAAATTAAATTAAATGTTAAACATTCTAACCTTAATTAAAAATTGACACTATAACTATATCTGAATATCTGAACCTGAATTTGTTCGTGAAAAAATATAAAAAGACGAAATTAAATATAATTTATAATAGTTTATCCTTCAGAAATAAAATCTACGAGAGATATTTGAATTTAAGAACATGCATAATTAGGTGTTAATTTAGAAGAAAATTACAATGGAAATGTTTTGCATGTAATCTAATTAATGAATTTAATCATTTTTCTTATCACGAACAGTTTTATAAATTGATTATTGTACAACAAAATATATGCAACTGTATGATGTGCAAACATATGTTGTACATCTGAAAAGAACTAGAAATGAACTTAGAATTTCTAATAATAAGCATGACAAACAAATCAAATGGTTATCAACAAAGAAAGATTCGGATTTAAATAATTGTTGTTTTTATTAAGATTTTAAGATATGAAGCTAATCTATACCTGAATATAAGAACTTTATACTTGTTAAAGAATTTAGTGCTGTGATTTAAATAGTAAATTTAATAAATATGGATAACTAGCTTATATTTATAAAACAGAATAACAATAATTAATAAGCGTAAATGCCGGAATTTCTTCATTCGGCTTTTATAATATGTACTGTATTTTAATTTATTCAAAATTTTTAATTAAACGCTTATATATGGAATTAAGATTTGGAATTTAAGAGCTTGCAGTTAAAATCTAGAAAAACGTTACTCGAAACGACTATTTTAACTAAAAGTCTTCATTTATAAATAGGTATTTAATGTATACAGTTAAATACTTTGATTCCTAATTTACCAAAGTAACATACATGCAACACACCAGTCTAAGTTTCATCCTAAGATTCAGTTTTAATTTAATATTTACTCTAAAACGCAGCATTTGAAAGACTATGAGAGAGAGAAGTTTTAAAACTAAGCGAAATTCAAGCTCAGATTGATATAGAAATCAAGGTAAACGTTTCGTATCTAAATTTGAAATTTGCCTAAATTGGAGTAACTAAACATTTAAAAATCTGAATACAGCTTTAATTCCATTTCGATATATTTTCAAACTCGCATTTAAATTATTTAAGCTATGCAGCTTATTCGAAAATGCAAGCGATATCAAAGAATTATGCACAGCTGAAATATTCACATGTTCCATAAATGAAATAACTTAAACTCAGTATATTTTATTAAATACATTGAAAACTTAGTATTACAATAACAGCGCATACAAAATGAAAAACCTTATATGTCTACCTACTTAAATGTAAGATGTAAATATTCTTAAATATGGCATTTTACAATATTAAATACTCAAATCTTGATTTAAAAGTTAGGATTTGGAATTTTACATACTAAATATTAATGGATTCATATTAAACATACTGCGTAAGCAACTAGTGTTTATTTAAAAAGCTGTATTAAATATTATACAAGCAAGTATTATATATTTAAAATAGGACATAAAGAGTTTTACTGAGTCATAAAGCCTAGGAAGAAAAAGAGCTTTTAACGTTTCTTAGTGGAATTAAACGATTTAAAGAAAACAATGAGTACATGGAAGGTCAGGGTAAAAATTTGTGCAGGTACAGCAAAAAGTGAAACATTTACAACAATAGCGAAAGCTGGAGAAAAAATTAGCAGACTAAACGCAACGCATAATGGACAATTCAGTATTTTTGAACACCGTTTAAAAAAAGAACAAAAAACCGCACGTTTCGTGAGAGGAAATTCAAATCGAAAATGGCACCGGCAAACTTTAAACGGCACGGAAGTAATGAGAGAAAATTCATTAAGCGGGGGTGGGGAGGCGCGAACAATTAAGAAGCTCTATTAGGGCGAAGGTTTTAGGGTTAACTCACCGGGTGTCGGTTGGGATACATGGTCGCCAAGGTTCACCGCCAAATCAATACCGCGGCGTCGCCATCAGGAACATCCAACGGGCAGCAGCAGCAACGGCGACATGACGTTCGGGCGTTTTAGTCCACGGTTCCCTGGGTTTAGAAGCGGTGCACCCCCCGCGCGGCAGAAAAACGAGGATGCCCGGCAAACAGGACGCACTCACCGATCGCCCCTATCAACAAACATGACTCTCCACAAAGCATTTCCCGCGCCTTCTCTCATCCAGCCCACGTGGTATCTTCAAACGGGCCCGATCGGCCACGGCCAATGAGCGGCGCTCTCGGCGGCAGGCGGGACTGGTATGACGTCACGCGCTGGTGACAGCCGTCACTCAAGAATCGGTGGTACCGCATCGGAACGCCCCCTCACTACTCCCCCCCGACGCGGCAACGGCGGCTGCGGAGTCGCGTTTTTTGGGGGGTTGCCTTCCGCAAATAGCGACGAAAAGAACCGCTTAAGCAGCGGCCAGAACGTAATGAGTGAAGAGTTATTTGCGCAGAAAGGTGTCATATTGTCGGGACCCAAAAACAAGAGCGAGTCAACATTCGGCCGCCCTTTGTGTGCATCGTGTGCTGTGCGTAGTCCCCCCCCCGACGCCGTTCGCCATTTTTATTTTATTTTATTTTTTTCATTCTTCTTAATTTAACCCTTCATTAAGAAGGAAGCGCTTATTTAAGAGTAATTCGATAAAAAGCGCTTTACGAGACTCTTACCACTAATTATCAACCGCGGCTTTTAACTTGCCTCGATCATTAAACAAGAAACTAATCGCCCGAGCAAAAATAGAATGAATTTTACTTTTTTAATGGTCCCTCGGTTTAGAAGAGGCATTGCCGGAATTTCATATTTTTGTTACGCTGCCGTTCGTGTAAGTGGGGAAGGTAGGATGGAGTGTAGGGAGGTAGTGATACGATAACTCGAGATTTTGGCAGATATTCTCCGCGTTTTCTCTCGTAGATCCAGGCGTTTCCTTCGCGTTGTAAATGTACGTGTGCGGATAAAATTACACCTGAATGTATACTTTTCTTGAAGCTGAATTTTACAGTTACCATGGCCTTTTTTTTTCTCCCCCTCTCTCTCTTCCTTCACCTTTTATAAAAAAGTGCGATATCTAGATTTTTGTTAATTGCTGTCATTGTTTTGTTAATGCTGTCAGTCGAAAAATAATGCATTACTGTCTGGCCACACTTTTATAATTGTATAATTCTCAAGATTTTCGTAGATAATTTTCTCAGGTCTTTTTCGCAATTTCATGATGACGTTAAGTTTTGATGAACTAAATAAACTATGTTGTTTCTAATTTGTTACTTAATTCTTCAAATTATAGAAAATATACTAAAATATTTTATGTTTGCACATTTTTAGAATTTTTTGCATCACATGCTAATTATTAATTTACGTGATAATTGAAATGCAGGTTAATTGAGCTTTCATCACTAAGAATAAATTCATATTTCTTAATAATAAAACAAAATATTCACATTCATGTTCCTATTATAACCAGTACGAAGAATCGGAAATGTGGATATATTCGTAAACTCTAATATTTCGCAGTCTACTTTTTTTGACCCCCCCCCATTATTTATTTATTTATTAGTCCAAAGGAGAAATTTGCCCAGAAGGACTATTAATTTCGTTTTGGCATTTTGCATCGGTTCACTATAAACGGCGAATCGCTTTTTAAATTGTTGCCACCAAATATTAGAGCCCTGTATTACATTTAAAGAAATTAAATAATGAAGAATCTGCATAAATGTATGTATGTATCTCGTACTGTTATAAAACAACGATACACAGAGTCATCAAATTTTGAATAACGTAATCGTCCACCGAATATGGGCATCTAGAAGACTTTATTTGGAATTTGTTTTATTATCGATTTCATATTTTGTAACACCTTAACGAATTTTTGAGTAACAAACTCAACGATTTCAAAGCGAGCCATTTTGCTATTGCAAAACTGTACGGGACTTTAAAAAAAAAAAAAAAAAAAAAAAAAAAAAAAAAAAAAAAAAAATTCCAGCGTGTATGGGAAATTTTAAAGATTTTAAAATTATTTTGCGATATTTGTGTTGAACTGAATTTTATGGTTTAAGTGCGAAGAACATGATATTTAATAAATAATGGTGACCAACAAAACGTTAAAAAGGTGGAATGTAAAATCTGAAAGCTTTCAGGCTTTTTTTTTTTTTTTTTTTTTTTTTTTTTTTTTAAGTTTTAATTTTAATTTAATTTATCATTGTAGAAACCCTAAAACGTTATATTAAACTGTGCGTAAAACGTAAACCACGAGAAAAAAATTTAAAAAACAAGGGGGGGGGAACCAAACGCTAAATTTTCAAAAACAAAATATTGCACCAATTTATACCATTGTAAGGTGACACCCATACATTTCTTAAATTTTCCGAATGATCTATAACCGTTTGAATTAATTAACTGAGACTGCAACTTCCAAAAATGAAGCAATTAAGCTGATTATTTATTTGATAATTTACACTTTACTCTTTTAAGTTTGTTAAATACAAAAGCTAAAACGTGTCTAAAATTTTTTTAAAAAAATAATAATTCTCTGACTTTAAAAAAGATGTTAGTTTGATCATGTTATATTACTATAAACACCTGATAAAATATCAGATTTCATTTTAAAAAAATCATTCTTTGCAGTTTTACATAAGACGCCATTTTAATTACCTTACACTTTCGTAGTAAAAGAGAACGTTGAAATTATTGACCTTGATAATTTATTGTATGCTTTGCTTGACAGTTTCAACGTGGTTGGAACACACTATGCACTTGCGAAATATTTTTTAAATGATACCAAAAATATAGATATGCCGATTTTTTTCGCAGTTTTCTGATATGTGTCGATTTTACTTAAGGTTTTAATTACATTCTCTATGAAGCTGATTAATAAACTTAATGATGAAAATATTTTAATGCAATATTGAATAATTTTGAGATATACGCTCTGAAAAGAAAAAATAAATCACGCATACTTGAGATTTGATGCAGTGCATATTGAATTTATTTGGAAAGCAAGGTTTCTTCCGTTAAATGGAAAGGAAATATATATATAGTAACATAAAAATATATTCAAATTTGTTTTTCTTCTTAAAGGAACACTTAAAAATGAAAAACAAAATTGAATATATTTTTATGTTCCTTTAACAGAATGAATGCTTTCTTTTACCGAGGAAATGAAGCAGAAATTTCACTTCTCTTTTCTGGAACTAATTTGATTTTCTTTTTCAAGTTTAAACAATATTTTACATCCAAAAATGTTTCTTTTAAAGCTTATCAAATTTTCAAGAAAATTTTATTAAAGAATTATTATTATGCTAAACAATTTTAATATAACTTCTGTTGTGGGTAAATTTTGCCACCTATTTTTTATTTCTGTTCTATAGCTATTTATTTCATTATTTGGTTCCTATACGAAATACTGCAACTATTTGATTGGGTTTCATTAATGTTTTTATGCATCCCTGAAAAAAATTAAAATTTTTTATAGAGGAATTAGAAGTTGCATGATAATGCATATAGAATACTGAAACTCTTATTTATTAGTTTTGCTTAAGTAATGGTCTGTGTTTTTAATTCATATGTGAGTACTGAGTCTCAATTTTTATAATCAAGTGCAAACAACATAAAAACAAGAAAGTAAGTACCCATTATCACAGCTTTTCTAAGCGACTGTTCAGCTAGCGCCATCTCTAGGAAACTGATAGAACTGTACTCTTAGTCATTCCAAAAGGAATAATGAATTAAAATTAACACTGATGGCATTTTAAAAAAGATAGTACTGAATATTTTTCCTAAAGGAAAGATAAACATATTAAAATCAGACAATTTCTTAGCAGAATTTAATTTTGTTTATGATTGTGTCAAAGAATATAGTAGTAAATTTCACTTGTTGCTACACAGAAAGCGTTTTATAAAGATAAAATCCTAACTCGTTTAACGTGTCTTTTTTCTCAAATGTTTTCTTTCGTGAAACAAATGGAAGGAAAAATACAGATATGGTGTTTAGCTGGTTTGCATATAATACAGAGGATATAGTGTAATATATATTATATATAATACATAGTGAAAATTCTTAAAAATTATTTAAGAAAATTAGTTTGAAAAGAATGAAAGTACGAGGGGGTGCCGTTATAAAGGCGTTCCTGTTTCAACACTCAATTGACATTTTGTATGCAATATAATAAAATTTCATAAACGCTAGATAGTTATATGTAAATCCAGTAACACCACTCAACAAAATACCAGGCATTTTCAACGTAGCTCCTTCATCGCCGTAAACCAGCAACAGTATCAATATTTGTTTTCCAGTCTTGAGATTAACACTATCAAGTAGAAACTTCGTATGTGCCTTTAGATACAATTAAGTATGTGTCATATCCGTATACGTCATAGATGCTTGGTCATCAGGGAAAAGATTACAATTTCTTCATTTTAATTTTAAAAAAATAATCTGAAAGCTTTCAGATTTTTATATTACGCCCAATGGAACTTTTTAAATTTTTTTGTGTTACTTTTATTTATTAAATATCATGTTTTTCGCACTTAAACCATAAAATTCAGTTCATTAGCAATATCGCAAAATGATTTTAAAATGAGCATATCTTTAGATTTTTCTATTGTACACAGTCTCCACTGGAATTTTTTTTTTTTTTTTTTTTTTAATGCAGTTTTGCCATTGCTCGCTTTGAAATCTTTGAGTTTGTAAATCAAAAATTCGTTTAAAAATGTGAAATAGATACTAAAACAAATTCCAAATTTGGGCTTCTAGATACCCATATTCGGGTAGAAACGAACGTTATTCAAAATTCGATGGCTCCAGGTACCGTTGTTTTATCACAATGCGAGAACATACATACATTTATGCAGATTCTTCATTATTTAATTTCATTAAATGTAATACAGGGCTCTAATATTTCGTGCAACAACCTGAAAAGTGAACCGATATTTATAGTGGACCAACGCAAAATGCCAAAACGAAATTAATAGTCCTTCTGGGCAGATTGCCTCTTTAGACTAAAAATCCGCAGCGCTTTCCTTCCCTTTGCAAATATAATGATTTATTTCAAAGGTAAATGATATTATTATATTCATTTGCAAAGATAAAGGGCATTATTCTTTAAGTAATAAAAAATACAAAATTACCATAAATACCTATCGTCCAAGAATAAAATTATGCCGTATTTAAAAAATGCCACCTCCT